TCTCACAGTGAAGCAGCGTTTTACAGTAGAAATAAATGGAGCTCATTATGCTGGTAGTGAACTATGTTGCTGACTCAGCTGCCTAAAAACCATAGAAACGGACCTTAAACAGAAGTGAGGACCCTGTTGGGGTTCATCCTAAAGTTAGGACAGGATTTAGGAGGTTTAGTCTAGTTAGGATGTTTGTGTGATGCTGTTTTCTTATCTGGAGTTCATGATGAGGTTATGAAGTTAGGAACTGATATTCTGGAGTAGATACTGTACTGAAGTCGTTATGGAGACCAAACAGATCAGATTTCAGAGGTAAGAAGTTTTATTATGAGCTTAGTGTGTAGAGATAGTCACAGTTTAAATCACAGTCACAGAAAAACAGGAATACTTTGCTTCAGAACACCGGAGTTCTGCAGCTGCAGTTCTGCGGTTCTCCAATACCAACATTTCCCCTGTTTCCGCTTTACATCCGGCGGGAAATTTGAATCGTCAGCAGTCGGTTACAGTGTTACAGAATGCGGCCTGTTCAGAGGCGCTAAAGATCAATAATAATATTAATATTGTTAACATTAGAGAGGAGAATATGGGGGAGGAGTGGGCTGTATCTGGAGGTGAAGATGAGGAGAGAACATGTGGAGAAGTAATGGACATAAGCCCGGGTTCCTGCTGATAGAGATCTTCAGCATCAGACTCAGAGTGGAGGCCAGTTACTGCTGTTATGTGTCCTGTAGGAGATTATACAGCAGATTTATCTGGACTGTTGGGTTGGAGTGCAGAACAAAAAGTCTTCATAAACTCTTTATTATTGAATACTGTAAATACTCATTATTTACAGTATTCACTCCATTCTTACAGTGCAGTGTCTATTTTACAAACCCTGAACCTTCTGTTACCACTAAAGGCCCACTGAACATACTATAGTACAGTACAGTGTAGTATAATATGGTCATCTGTAGGTTTGTACAGTTATGTGTAGTGATATCAGCTGTGCAGAACTATGTAGAGGAATAATAGTGCATGTATGTATGTACATAGAAATGTGTATATCGCTGCTGTCAGAACAAAACCTTGTATCTCCATTGTTGTCATTTTTCAGTTTTGGATTTAATTTGAAACTATCCATTGTCTTTTACACTGTGTGTAAATTTCATGGTGAATGGACCAACAGAAATGACCCAAAATGACTTGGAAAAAAGTCTGGTCCCATTGACTTACATTAAAAGTAAAGTATGTTTTTTCCTTCTTCTGTAAAGTCACCATTTTGGAGATACGAGGTTTTGATCCGACAACAGTGATATAGAAAATCTATATACACTAAAAGTGTACGTGTGCCTCTGCATCATCCTGCTTTATGGACACCATTTGTCTAGTTTCTTTAAACATGCGCTCAAAATGAACACGTCTGAAAGAGTTTACAGTCTGTGTATGGAAACGTGCATCTGTGGTGGAAAATGTGCTGTTTTTACTAATAATGAAATCAAACTGATGTCAGTGAAATCTGAACATCTTTCCTCATAATTGTGGAATGACTTTGTGTTTTTTTACTAAAGGAATTTGAAAAAATGAGATCCAATGTCCTTCATAAGGCCTAGTCAGTGTAAAAATTGGTTTCTGTACACTCCTGTATATTCATTAAGGACAGCTTTTCTGATGCGTATGATGGTAAATATGCTTTTCTAATGTATGAATGTGGAATAACTAAAGAGAAAACAGCATTTTACTCTCTGATGAAATGAGCCACATTACTGATTAGAAGAAAAAGAACCAAAAATAAAAACATCTCTCACATGCAAGAACTCCAGTGATATTAGAAGCTTGTTTCAAATCTAGATTTTACAACTTTTCCAAAATATATTAAAACAGTATCCAGAACATTCCACCAGAGGGCGCTGTGATATCACAAACTGAACCCTCATCACTGCTGCAGTGTGGAGACCCTGATCCAGCCTTTTCTCCTGCTAATGATTCCAGCATGTGACAGCAATAAGGGGTAAATGTACCCTATAGAAGAATATAAGGTTCATTACATATTAATGATCGTAAGGCATGAATATTCAAATCTGGAAATGCATATTAATTTAAATAAAGCTGCTCGTAAAGCGTCTAAATCTCTGTGTGAGTGAAATGTCAATTCTAGTGGCACCAAATGGCAAATTAAAATTAACTGAATTAGAATTTTCACTTTGAGACCAAAACTGCATAAATAAGCAGGAAATTCAACCCAGACAAAAGAACACATCATCGTTTTACACACAGGGACCCCTGATGGTCCAGATTTGTGTTCCAACCAAACTTACAACACATAGGGATGAAGGAAAGATGTGGACTGACTGGGGGTCCCGAAGGCCGACTACTGATCCACAATACGTTACGTATTGTCAGGAGCTCTCGTAAGGAGCTATAAGGCTGTCACAGGCCCTGCCAGGGGTACTACCAGGGGTCCTTCCAGGGGTCTGAGACAATGAGGATTGTATTCAGAACAGATATACGGATTCCTATATCAGTATCAACCAACAGGATGTTTCAGGGCCCAAACATTCATACAGCGCATTGTTTTGTTTCTTTGTCTACATGTTGATTGGTAGATTGATAAAGATTATTTCTCACTGAACTAGTAAAACTGTGGTCAGTGCAAAGGATCCCTCACATGAGTGCATTAATATTTATCATCTATTAATCTAAAGTAATTAAATGAAATAAGTAAATATTTCTGCTTGTATTTTCACTTTAAATTCTGATAAATTAAACTAAGGTCTGTAATTAAATTCAGAGCTCCATGCACAGCAATTTATTCTCACATTAAGTTACAAAATCATAATTATATATAAGATTATATTATATATTCATTTGACCTATTTATGTGTTTTGGAAAGTTAATATATACATCTTGTTTATATGAGGCATCTAGTTTAATGTCATCATTTGTGGCTGAATGAAAGTGTGAATAAATATCTGTACAGTATATTTTTATGAATAGCTGCTCATCGTAAATCTGATGAATGGCGTAGTGCAGTGGATGCTGTGCGTTGGTTTTATATGTGCTACAAAATCAATTTGTAATGTGTGAAAATGTGTAAAAACTGTGACCTGAAAACGACCCCTGTGCTTTGACACCTGACCCTGAGACTTCACACTTCATATCACTCTCTGAGTCTGTCTGTGGCTCTGCTATGTTTTCTGGTGGTCTTGCATAATCATGAACATTTAAAGCTCACTAACAGTCTGTAGACAATGACTAAGTACATATACTACTGTATACTGAGTTGTGTGTTAACTGGAGTATCTGGAGGTCCTTGTGCTCACTCAGTTCAGTTATTTATTTATTTATTATGTATTTATTTCCCCCTAATTCCTTTTTGAAACAAGTGCTCAAATGAATTTTATTTCTGTGAATCTGTCGAGGGGAAAACATGACCATCACTTTTTAAATCAGCTACAGTTGTTGCCTAAAACTTCATCTTCAAATCTAAAATAAAGAGGCTTCAGGTTTCCAAATGTGAAGCCTCTTTTATTGTAATTAGGGAGGATGTTTCGAGGGTTTGTTCTGCTGACTGTGTGAAAAAGGGGTTTTTGCTCTCGTGAAAAGTGTTTTTATATAGTAATGTTATTGTTAGACTCTTCCTCCTTCAGCAGTTTAAGGACCACAATTCTAGGACCCTATGTTTTTGTGACACTGCCCCCTAGCGAAGTAATGTCCTCACTAAAGGCTTATTCCCAAATATCCCAAATATCACTACTTTATCTAACTAATTATAGTTGTAAAGGCTTATTCCACCCAAACACCACTACTGTATCTAAATAACAATAGTTTTAAAGGCTTATTCTACCCAAATATCACTACTGTATCTAACAAATAATCTAATTAATTAGTTTTCAAGGCTTATTCGAACCCAAATATTATTACTTCATCTAATTGATTACAGTTTTAAAAGCTTATTCTACCCAAATACTACATGGAATTCAACTTGTTTGCTAAGAGTTGCATGTTGTGTAATTGTGTAAAATAGAGATTAAATTAATTTCTGGACAGAGTCCATTCTTGGGATTGGCATATGTGCTTCCTTCCAATGTGCCTTTTAGATTTGTTGTTCATGAGGACCTGGCATATGGGACGTTTTTGGTGTAGCTTTGCACGGACACTTCATCTGTCCACTTGGCATGGTTGATAGTTGTCAGTGCTGGCATGGTGGAGGTTGTTGGGGCTGGGTCTGTGGCACCCATAAACCCACCGCTGATCAAAGAAGAAAATAATAGTGAAAAAATAAATAAATAAATAATCTCTATGACATATCAACAGGTTTCACAATAAGTTGCCAATTTTCTTAGCTGCACGACAGTAAGACGCATATGGAAGCGCCTGCAGGGGGTTAAATAGGATCTGTGGATTAAATTATGATGAATAAGGTGATGGTTAGGATTTTTAGAGGCTGATGTTATTCCATACAGTATGCCAGTTGATTTGACCTTGGCCAACCGCTCTGCGGCTTCATTAGGTGTGTGCACTGTCTGTGTTTAGTGTCAGAGTTTTGTACTTTAATGTTTTCTCTAAGCTCTAAATATCCGTGGAGTGTTCATGATGTAATGATGAGAGCAGTTTTAATGAGTTTAGGATGTAAACAGCTCCAGTAAACAGACTCTCCCTCAGATCATGAGGCTGTAGCTTAGTTTTCCATACAGAACCTGTACAGAACGTGTTAGGGCAAAAAACAACTCTCAGACACTAAACACAGTGCAGACCCCTACCTGAAACCTGAATAGAAATGATTAATACCGCGTTCAGCACAGAGGTGTTTAATGAGCTTCTATAACTCGAGTTTAAAAGCTCTTAAAAATATAACAGCAGTGTTCAAATGTTTTATGCTAAAATGTTTTGTGATTGAATTATTTTACATTAAAAATGTTTAAGCATTTATAAACTGTGATTCTGCTCAAAGGCCCCATATCAACCCATTCATTTTGGACTCGCTCGGGAGCGCCCTCTAGCGTCTGAGAAAATTCTCCTCTCTACAAGCTCTCTGGCCCCTCCCCAAAACAAGCTAAACCCTACCAGCAGCGTTTCTGTGGCATCGGCAGCTTTAAAGGGTCTCTTGGAAATCAGCACAGCGGTGAGTGACGGGCTGTTATATTTACTCTCTGAATGTGAATGTAGACCCGGCTTTAGCTGCTCTCAGTGTTAGCTGCGCTTTAGCTGCTCTCAGCGTTAGCTGCGCTTTAGCCTACTGAACACAGCCAAGTTAGCTCGGTAGCTAGGCTAACCGTTAGCTTTCCGGCGACACTGTGATGATGGCATTTCAGCTGATTTTATTGTATTTAACAATTACAGTGCAACACAATAGTCTAATGGACATAGACACAAATGTATAGCAGCGGTACGTGAAGCATATATGAGCTTATAGAGTGTAACTGTTGCGGTACAGTGAGTGGACGGACTTTTATTTTGTAGCTGCTGTCTGTTGGTGTTGCTCTGTCGCTGCAGTGAATCACGCTGCTTGTTATTTTGACTCTCAGTAAAGAAGTAACGCTTTGTAACTAAACGCTTTGTAAATGTACTGAGGAGCTCCGGCTCTGTTTATTAGCCAGTTTGTTCAGTTCTGGAGAAGCTTCTGCGCGGGTCTGTGTGGAGCTGCAGCGGAGAACCTGCTCGCCGGCGTTTCTGTGGCTACAGCATCCAGATTTTAGGACCAAAACCGGGCATTTTAGCTGATTAATCTGACCACAGTAAAGCTGGTTTATATTCGATATTCGTCTCTTCAGTGATAATAACATTTGAACGGACTGTGGAAGCCAGTAAAGGCTTAACGTTAGCTACGTATTCACGACAGTACTACCTATACACTCCTTTTTCTGTTTGGGTGACATTTAACATCCCAGCAAACAGACAACATTGTGACAACGTTGTCTACTCTCTCACAGCGTTGTTAAAAGGTGGTGCTGGTTACGTTGTCTGAACAACGTTGTCACAACCTCACTGTTCAGTAACGTTGCTGTGCGGTATCATCACTACCTGTTGGTAGCTCAGCACAATTCCACTGAGTTTCATTCACAACATCATGGACTTTATGGGGATTGTAGGAGGTTGTGAGAACGTACTGACAACGTTGTCCCAATGTTGTCAAATAATGTTGTCACAACTTTCTAAGGAATTACATTTAAACGTTGTGAAAACGTTTTGGGCTCCAAAGCAGTGGGCTGTGACCGCGTCGCCACATCCTAACTGTGTTTGCTGGGATGCCCCTCTTTTTGTGTTAATACTGAAAATCTGAGACAAGATTTCCAATGGAAATAGAATGTATGCATTTCTAGACCTGCACCTGCATCTGTGCACACATTTTTCCTCCAAATGGCTTCAGTGCTTTTAAAAACGTGTTTTATTGTTTCCTTTAATGATAGATATTGTCAGAGAATAAACATCAACAGCTGCAGAACCACTGTGTCTGTACTCATCTGATCAATAGTGTTGGTTACTTTGATCTGTGGTGAGAATTGCACATGACTTTAATTCTGAAAAAGGACATTTCATTAACCGGTAGTTAAACATGTACTTGCAAATTATTCTAATAACTGATATGAAGTTGTTAGTTTTGTATGTAATGCAGGTAAAATCCCTTTGAAATTCAAAATGGGGAAAAAATATAAAGTAGTTACTGCATCATATCCAAAATCCAGAGGTTGTGCATCATTGCTACAACATACACTACCAGTTTTATGGGTGTATATAATGCAGCTGAAATACTACTGAACATCAAAATGTCTAAAGATGAATATAAAATAGTTTTTCCTTAAAACCTAAATGTTGTGTGTCATTGCTGACACCTCGCTGAACCATGCACAGTTGTTTTTGGTGGTGTATGTAATTCAGCTGAAAAGCTATTGATATTCAAATTACATAAGTAATATAAAGTAGTTTTTACATTACATCCAAAATCCAGAGGTTCTGCATCGTTGCGGAAAAATAGCTGCAACGTGCACAGTTGTTTTCAGTGTTGTATGTAATGAGGCGCGAATGTTATTGAAGTTAAAAATACATAAAGACTAATATAAAGTTGTTATTGCATTACATCTAAAATTTGTGCATGGTTGGTGAAACATAGCTGCACTACAGACGGATGTTTTTAGTGTTGCATCTCATTCAAAACACACATAATGCATTATATCCAAAACGTAAAGGTTATTCGTGGTTGCTGGCATCTAGTTGCACCACAGATGGATGTTTTTAGTGTTGTGTGTAATGCGGCTAAAATGCTGTTGAAACTCAAAATGGGGGGAAAAAAATCTTAAAACAAAGATAATACATTAATTCCAAAATCCAGAGGTTGTTTGTCATCTCTGACATCTACCTGCATTTTACACAGTTGGTCATTGTGCTGTATGTGATCTGCTTTAAATGATGTTGAAATTGAAATTGGAAAAAATGAATATAAAGCCGATATTGCATTATATACATAATCCATATGTTGTCATCCTTCCTGACACCTAGCTGCACTATTCGGTTTTATTTTAGGAGTGGATGTAATGCTATTGAACATTTAAAATGTAAAATAAGTGGTACGTATTGCAGAGGTGCTGTTATATCTCCAAGTAGTCCATTTGAAGATGCCCCCAACTTGACACATTGAGTGTTTGGTGGATTTCTAAAACTTCTGAGTTGCAATTAGATAATTACATTTAAATCAAATAGACGTTTTCTCTTCTCTACACTTTTACGCAGACATTCTAGACAGTTAAGCGTCTACTGAACCTTAAAGACTATGAATGTCTGAGTATTGAACCTCCGTTATCAAGCTAATCTTATATCAGTATACATGTAACATCACTTTTTACAGATGAAATATGACCACTGGTCTTAGAATAATCATTAACTACATGTTTAGTTACCGATTAATTACATGTCCTTTTTCAATATTAAAGTTGTGTGCAATTCTCTCCATAGATCAAAGTAAACAACACTATTGATCAGATGTGTATAGACACAGTGGTTCTGGAGCTGTTGACGTTTTTGTCTGACTATATCTATTGTTAAAGGCAACAATAAAATATGTTTGTAAATGCACTGAAATTATTTGGAGAAAAACAAATTGCATGCATTTTATTTCCATTGGAAATCTTGGCTCACTTTTTAGGTATTAACACAAAAAGAGACAAACCACAAAAGAAAAGGTGCATCACTCTGTGATAGTACTGCCAGGATTCACTCAGAGACTGAAAAGGTACGCAGAATCACTGTGGTTTAGTTTTTAGAATTGAACAATAAGAGCAAAGACTTTCTTTCTGTAGTATACATACTGAAAACAGGTGGTCTTTAATAGTGCTTGGGGGTACACTACATTAATTAAACCTAGATTTTAATGGCATCCATACCTGAGTTCTACCACACTAATACAGTAGCACAGACATCCATACCTGAGTTCTACACACTAATACAGTAACACAGACATCCATACCTGAGTTCTACACACTAATACAGTAACACAGACATCCATACCTGAGTTCTACAGCACTAATACAGTAACACAGACATCCATACCTGAGTTCTACACACTAATACAGTAACACAGACATCCATACCTGAGTTCTACACACTAATACAGTAACACAGACGTCCATACCTGAGTTCTACCACACTAATACAGTAGCACAGACATCCATACCTGAGTTCTACACACTAATACAGTAACACAGACATCCATACCTGAGTTCTACCACACTAATACAGTAACAGACATCCATACCTGAGTTCTACACACTAATACAGTAACACAGACATCCATACCTGAGTTCTACACACTAATACAGTAACAGACATCCATACCTGAGTTCTACACACTAATACAGTAACACAGACGTCCATACCTGAGTTCTACACACTAATACAGTCACAGACATCCATACCTGAGTTCTACCGCACTAATACAGTAACACAGACATCCATACCTGAGTTCTACCGCACTAATACAGTCACAGACACCCATACCTGAGTTCTACACACTAATACAGTAACACAGACATCCATACCTGAGTTCTACCGCACTAATACAGTAACACAGACGTCCATACCTGAGTTCTACACACTAATACAGTAACACAGACGTCCATACCTGAGTTCTACACACTAATACAGTAACAGACATCCATACCTGAGTTCTACACACTAATACAGTAACACAGACGTCCATACCTGAGTTCTACCACACTTGTATAGCTTTTTCCACACTTCTGCAGAGCTTCTTGAGGTCTACAAGCAGGTTGAACAGATGAACACCAGTGGTCTTTTCTGCAGACCTAGTGATGCACTGCAGTTTGTGGATGCCGTGTTTAGTGGCAGAGCTGTACCAGACAGTGATGGAGGAGCTGATGACTCTGTAATGGCTGTGTGGAACTAATTGTTCACAACAAATTGTGACCGCTTCAGAGGACCAACTCATTTTGGATGAGGCCAATGACTATAGTGACTTTGTAACAGAGGCGTCTGTGGATGTGTACAATCATTAGTGTACAGTGAAAACAGCTGTGGGGAGAGCTTTAGGTGGACAGTATCTTACTATTATCATGATAAATTTTGAGTGTGTAGTGGATTTCATAAGTACTTAACACTGAACTGCCTGTTTCATTAAAAGAGAACATGATTGGTCCTGTTTAATTGGGTGCAGTGAAGTGCAGTGTGTCAAATATTGAAAAAAATCATTGTACTTGTAGTTCTTGGCAGTATTTTGTTTTTAAATGTAACTTCACTAGAGTATTTATGTCTGTTTGATTGTGTCAAACTCTGAGAAAAGCGAATGTTTGTGATGCATATTGGGTACCGTGAAAATGTTTAAATTGCTGCCATGTTGCCCAGTCCTAGGGTGAGCATGCATCCTTTTAGAGCGTCAGTCAGGGTTGTTTGAGTGCCTGATAAGTTACCATACACAAACCACATGTAATAACAGACACTCGTAATGTTATATTAATAAGAACTAACTAAGAAAAACATTCTGCCTTAGAACAACAACTGTACTTTCATAATTATGAGTGCAGCACGACTAAGGTGTCATCAGGGGCCGTTAACATTGTTTGACTGATTTTCAATACTTTGACCAAAGTATGAAGACATGCCATCCACGCCTGT